TGAGACTTTACATCAGATCTGAAAAACAACTGAATACCCCTTTATAGCTACAGGTTGTTATTGTCTTTCGTTTTGCTTAGTCTTGTTGTTCTTGCATATATATATATATATATATATATATATATATATATATATATATATATATATATATATATATATTTTTTATTTATTTTTTTCCACTTGTAATTCAACCTAAATCTGGAGGGAAAGCAGTGTATTTGCAGAGTGACTAAAATAGGTTGGAACTCTAAACAACCATTAGTCAGTGGTTGTGTCTGTATCGCTGTATCCTTTTGTAGCATTTAAATGGAGTTTTTGTGTCCCTTTGTTGTTTGCTTTATGTGTATGATAGAGTCTCTTTTACTTTAATCTGTTTTCTTAAAGCTCCAATGAAGAACTTTCAGTTTGTGTGGACTTTAGCGCCCCCTGAGGACAAAAAGTCCTCTTACCCCTTTGCTGATTATGTCCTGTACTTGTGCTACTGTACTTGTGTACTTGTGTTGTAAAACACACTCTGCGTGATTCCAATACTAAAATGTGTCACTGTTCACAGAAAAAGTAATGACAAAAGGATGTTTTGTTGTACCTACACTGACACCTACCTACCTAGTTTCAGTCATAAGAAAAAACTACATAGAGATAATAAATCCTGTTTCTGATGGTCTTGTTTGCTTCTGTGAGCCACGAAGAGATATTGGTTATCATTTCAGTCCATTTTAAAGGAATAAAAATCCCTTGGAGGAGCTTTAAGACTCTTCACCCCTTTCCCAAACATTTTAAACTGCTTTTTGTTGTAAATATTAATTTTCCAGTAATCATGATTTTGCAATGAGAAATAGATATGTCACAGGAGAACAAAAGGCCTTTCTGAAACACAAGATAAGAAAAGACATCAGAAACAAATGAAGCCTTTCCAGAAAGATGGTCTCAGAGTGCTTCTGTAACTGAATTGGCTACAACCTGATTTGTAATCCCCTCATCTCTCCTGTCATTATCTCATACAGCGGAGGGGAAGCAGCAGTCAGAGGCCTTGGAGGAGTCTGAGTGCCAGCAGATAATGCAGTGAGCCCAGACGGTCATATTGATGATTCTTGCAGGTTGAGAGAATGGTGAGAAAGTTGTGGCGCCAGGCTGACATTAGCCTAAAATGACATTAAGCCGCTACTGCTAAACAAAGAGCAGCAATTTGATGAAAGAGAGAGAGAGAGAGAGAGAGAGAGAGAGAGAGAGAGAGGTAAATATGATTGTAGTTAAGTCATACAGACCAGTGATACCTTTTCTTCATCTGATACTTCCCTACATACAGGCTAAGCTAACTCCTAATGACTGTGAGCATGAAGGGCGTTAGACAAAATGACCACAAAGGTCTTACAAACCTCTTCCTGTATACCTTAAGTATCAAACCCTGCTGTAATTGCTATTCTCTACCCGTTCAAAACAAGACCTTAAAACCTGTGCCTGTTTTCCTTGCTGTCTTTTAAACATCATGTGACTAATTCATAGTCCAAATTGTTACTCAGGCTTTTAGAGACTTTGGTGAAGACAGGTGGACAATAATTTGTCCATAAATTCATAGAAAATTGTCCCTTTAATGCAGTAATGTGGTAGGATACGCTCTTTGCTTCACAAATGTAAGGTGTGGATGACAAGAGAGAGAGAGTTTGTGCATGTTGGATTTAGGTCTTGTATGATGTAAGGGTGCAAGTGCACTGTCAGGGTCATTTTTCATTTTAGTCCATCTGTACCACACCTGTACCTTTAATGCAGTTTGTTTTGGCTCAGAGTTTACTCTGTAAATTTTAAATTGCAAACAGAATCCCCACCATTGAGGAAAAATGAATAATTCAATTACCCTGTGTCTTACTGTCTCCACTTACCAAGCACGAGTAATGAGCGAATTAATTACATTAAGTCAATGCAAACTACTCTGGCAGTGCGAATGGCATGAATTGGCAGGAGCTGAAAATGTCTCAACTTGAGCGGATATTTGCGTCGCGATGACTAATTAGCAGGAAGGTTGCTGGGTGGTGTATGAAAACAGACAGTTGTTCACTGTTATCTAAAATGGAGGATAAACTGATAGTGTTGGTGTGTGGATGCCCTGAATTATATTGTTAGGATGAGTTTCTTTAGCCAGTCATGTCAGCCTTTACAGTGGTAGAGCTGTGTCACTTAAATACCTAAGATACTTCAGTGTTAGATTGCTGGCGCCAGGGGCCTCCGACAACCATCCTCAACATCTACCTTGTACCCATGTTTTCCATCACACAGGTCCCCAAAATATGTTCTGTCATGGTATTTCCTTCTATGGACCCTCCATATGTTCACCTAAAGCTCCTTAAAATATGTTGTCACACTTTGTTACAATCTGTTACACTTGTGGCATGATGAAGCTGTAACCCAGATCTGTAACCAGTAAAGCTTGTCTAAATGATCATTCGTGTGGACCTTCCATTTTTTATAGTGTGAACATGGGCTACGCATCCTTACATATATGATACCTTTTCTTTTAGTTACTTAAACAGGAACAAAAAGGAGTTCGGTCGGAGGCATGTGAGTGAGGAGGTCGGATTACCTGGTAACTTGTAAAAAAAAAAGGATAACTGCTGAAATTACCATTGACGTGCAAATGAAGCGAGTAAACACTATTCATTCAAAAGTCTAAACTCGTATGAATTAAGTGAGTAGAGGATTTTACTTGCACTTGGTGTGAACGCCCCATTAGTGTTTTTATTTATAAGTTCTTTTATTTATTTAAACAAAAAATTCGTCCAAAGACTTTTTTCAACTTTCAACAAAAACAGTTTATAAAAGTAACTGTGGTTGACTGTCTGAAATCTTCTATATTTTACATACTGAACAAGAAAAGCACTCGGAGAGTGCAGACCTCTGCCAAGCAGCTCATGTCCCCCCTTATATTGTGATTCACACCAAAACTTTTACTGTTATGTGTCTTTTATTAACTTTTATTTGTGTTTAAACTGGTATGTTCACTGTTCATAATGTTCCTAAAACAAGAAATGCCCTGACCCAGATTCAAACCCAGGACCTTCTTACAGTGAGGCGACAGTGCTAACCACTACACCACTGTGCCGCCCATCTACACCACTATGCCGCCCATTGGTTTTCTTTCAGCATTGAAAATTCCAACGACACCCTTATTTTTGTGTGTTCTGGATCACAGTATCCGGAATTTTGTCTGGATCAGGATCAACCTTTGACATCTCATAAAACTCATTGAGATCCTTTTGTGTAATTTTTTACTAAAGACTCTGGCCATTTTTATACTGTAGAGTTAAATGCAAAAATTCCAAAATTTGCCCTATCTCACAATGGTAAAGAATCCTTCAAAAAATTCCTGGATCCAGAAGGCGATCCGGATCACCAAAATGTAATGGGATCGTCCTGGGGCTGAGACGCACCTCTGGTGAAAATTTCAGGTCAATCCGTCTGTAACGTTCTCCGTAAAGTTGTTCACAAACAAACAAACAAACCAACCAACAAACCAACAAACCAACACTTCCGAAAACATAACCTCCTTGGCGGAGGTAAGAAGCATTTGGCTTCATCATATACCAACTCAACAGATTTCATCATTGATGGCTCAAAGAATGTTTCCCATCATAAGATGTTTGTTTTACCATGAGGAGCCTGTGGGACTAAACAAACACAGATCAGCCAGTGATCTATTTGTGCGGTCAAAAGACCGCTTGGACCTCCTGCCCCCTCCCTCCCCTAGTTATGGACAACAGGCCTCTCCTGCTCCCCAGAGGAGGAGGTCAGCAGATGTCTCTGAATCAATCTGGCCAAAGACCCAGAATGACCTCTGATTGAATTAGTGGGGATGTTTGGAGTTTGGATTTTGCAGATGTACAGCATTTGTATTGTCTGCATAAATAGTGCATAGGGCTTTGCTTTTTTTTCTCTATAATGTCAATAAATGTTTAGCTTTATGTAAATTAAAGCAGAAAGAAGCCTGATGAAAATACAATTGCTGTAGATGTACTGAATAAATGAATTATTTTTAGATCAGTGACACTAACTTTAAATCTAGGAGGGTCTTTGTGAATATAATAATGATTCAGATTTATCAGCTGGTTGAACTCAGTGCTTAGTGCCAGCTTGTTTGTATCACAGGATGATGAATAGTGAGCAGCTCCTTGGGGCCTAGCACCTCTAGCGCACTGGCTGAGCATGAACTGAGTTGGATGTATCTCATCTGTTGTATTTCACTAGATTGTAACCTTTGACATAAAGCTGTGCCTGGTCTTGTCATACCCATTCATATGAATATAATTGGATTTTCGCTTACAAAACATGATGCAACTGACAAGTTTAAGCAAACAAATTAATAAACAATATTGAAATAAAGTGCTTTTCTGCTTTCAACAAGAACCGTTGAGATAAATTTTGCATTCTTTTGTTTAACTTCAAATCCAAAATGCAGTATGAATTCACTCCCCTATTGCATTCAGGAATTTGCCCTCACACAAAGTTAGCAATAATATTTATAGGTTTTGTCATAAAATAACAAAGCCACCACCTGATCAGTCGAAACACTGGCATGCTCGCACACATCAGTTTGAAAAAAGCCCTTTCCTCTTGCCTCCGAGCTCACTTAGCTTGAGAACTCATGTGTTAGCCCATCTGTCTGTGACTGAGCAGCCCTGTGTGCAGCACTTTATGCACTCTGGGTCTTGGCAGCCCCAGACACTGAGGAGAGTGGGGCGCCCAAGCACACAAAGACAGACTGGAAACACCCTCAATTATCATGAGAATGAAGTGATGGGGTGAAGGGGTGTGTGAGAGAGAGAGGGAGAAAGGGGGGTCAACCATCATCATTAAGATGCTGTGTGTCCACTGCATGAGCTACATGAGCGCAAACAAAGAGGCAGCAGCCTCTCTGGATCTGGATCTGGAGCTGGACTGCTACAGCCTCAGCTTCATTTCTGCCAGGCTCAGGGAGGAGGGGGAGGGGAACACTCCATCAGAGGCAGCCTATCAGATCCAATTAGACAACACAGCATTACAGCGTGGAACCAAGCCAAAGTGAAAGGGGAGAAGATGTGGCTGTCGCTTGGGAACCATCTTTTCGAGCCTCTACCATCATTACAGTTGAGTTAAAGAGTCAATGTGTTTCGCTTACAGGTAAATTTCTGCACATTGTTAAAAAAAAAGAAAGAGAAATGGCTGCTCATACCATATTTAAAGATTTAGATAGAAAAAAAATATATATGATAAGGAATATGAATCCACTGACTCAGTTGCAGCTTTACTCCACCGCCTAGAAAGAGCACAAACTAAAGGATACACATTCACATGCCGTTCTTATACATAAAAATGTAGTTCATTAAAGCAAACCACTGCCAGCCTATCCTGGATGTACTCTGCCTCCAGTAGTTAGGGCCCGAGCGTAGCTGCTAAGCAGCTGCGAGAGCCCTCTTGTTCCTGATGGATTCTTCTTTCGTTATTTTTCCTCCGCTTTAAACTGGAAAATGGCCCACTTCCCACTGGCGAAAACTCAGGAAATTTGGCAGGACGACCGGGCCTGGTGAAAAATTCGATATTCTGAAGTCGCCCAAACAAAAAAATGAAAAATGGCTCCATAGCGCCCCCTATGGTGAAAACTCACCTGACGCCTGTACGCTTTGTCAAAATGACACAAAAATTGACACACATGTGTATCTCAATAAGATCTACAAAAAAGTCAGTGCGGGCGTATCTGTCAAATGTACCGTTAAAGGGCTATTTCGCATTTTTTGCCGATCCGCACACATTGGAATTTCGCTAACTCCTCCGAAGGCTTTCCTTCCACCGGCACCAAATTTGCTCAGGCCAATCTACACCCCATGGCCATTAAAAGTTGTACAAATCATGACGCTGCACCCCACGGTTTAGGTTCTAGGGGGCGCCAAAGATAACCCAAAAAGCCACATTCTTAAAAGTCTTATAACTTTTTATTTTTGTCCTCACTGGCCTCCAAGTTTTCTAGGATGATGCAATGTCCAGCCATCAACACATCTGTGAAGGAATTTTTACTCCCCAAAAGAGCGCCCCCCCATGGCAGTAGAAAAAAGTCCATTTTTTCTTGTCCCCTAAGGTGAAAATACACATTGTTGAGTGTCACGCCTAAACGCTTTGTCATATTGACACAAAATTTGACAATCACGTGTATCTCAATAAGATCTACGAAAAAGTCAAAGAGCGCGTATCTGTATAATGTACGGTAAAAGGGCTATTTTGCATTTTTTGCCGATCCGCACACATTGGAATTTCACTAACTCTGGAATGTGGCTATCGCCTCCTAAGGCTTTCGTCCCACCGATACCAAATTTGCTCAGGCCAATCTACACCCCATGCCCATTCAAAGTTGTAAAAATCATGACGCTGCACCCCACGGTTTACGTTCTAGGGGGCGCCAAAGATGACCCAAAAATCCACATTCTTAAAAGTCATTTTGGCCACTGCAGGAGTACAGAGTACTGCAGTTCTAGGGGGCGCCAAAGATGACCCAAAAATCCACATTCTTAAAAGTCTTTTTGGCCACTGCAGGAGTACAGAGTACTGCAGGATACACACACATACACACACACACACACACACACACACACACACACACACACACACACACACACACACACACACACTCAGAGTCTGTTTTTTAGCACCTGCAAAAACATGCTGTTTACATATTTGACAAGAATGCAGAGGCTTCCTTTTGCCCCTGAAAAAAATCAGATTTCAAACACAACTTGACTGTTCATTTCTCCAAAAGACAACCATGAAGCTCCATCCAAACCTGAAGCAGATAGTTGGTGCATGTGTACAGTAACCTGAGGAGAGTGAGGTGACTATTTCTGAGGAGAACATGAGCAGTGAAGATTCACCTTGGAGCTAGAACAGGGACGTGCACATGATTATACAGGGGCAGGGGCTCAAGTTTTTTCCAGTCATTTATACAATATGGAAATTAATGTGAAATTAAACCACAAATATGTGTGATGAACTGTTTTTAAAACTTAAACTTCAAATAAAAATTGTAAACTTCAAAACATATGCAAATTTTTAACAAAGAACATAGTAATTTACCTCTATTTACATCAAAATGCAGGCAATGGCCCACGCGTTCTTTGTAAAATTATTTACAAAACACTGTATAGTCTCACAAATGTCACTTTTTATTTATGCCACTACAAAAAAACATGATGTAAATGATGCATGATGTAAAACATGATGTAAAAAACTTGTGTAGATCCTCCTCTATGTCAGTCCATGTTTAATTTTTCCATAATTCTTTGTTTTTTGCAGCATTTTTGTTAGTGTAACTGCAGATTGTGCTGACTGTCTATGGCAAAAAAAAAAAACTGAAAATGCCTCAACATGAACCCCTGGTGGTCTCTGAGGGTGAAACCTGCTAACTGCTGCAGCTCTGTCAGCTTCTGTCTCCCATGCAGAGCTCGGAGCGCATGTGTGGCTCTGCACCCTTAGCAGCGTTGCTAACTCCTCAGTAAGGAAAGCCTGCTTCATGTCAGAGTCTCTAAACTCCAGAAGAAGTCGATAAAAGTCCCTTTCTTTCTAAAAAAGTCGTTAGGGGGTCTGAAAAGTAATTGAATCTAACAACAAAGTCGCTAGGTTTGCAACTACGTGTCCCAGACTGCATCCCTGCTGAGAGTCCCTCCCTCCCTTCTCATGTTGCAGGAAGAACGTAAGCGCCCGCCCCTTGTCAATCAGTCACCATATAATTTTGGATTGGTTGTTGTGGTGAAGTTTTCCACCAATAGGAGAGATGTTGTGGTGTGTTTTTTTTTTCTTTTGGCAAGCCTTTTCCGCCTGTATGACCTGTCACTAATGTGTGCATGCAATGTTTTCCTGTCTCATACAGCACGATCGAGCGCCGAACGTGATCAAAATAAGCAGAAAAAAAGTATCGCGGACATAATTTATCATAACTCTGGTTTTATTTGGCCTATCAACACAATTTAAAAACTGGTATATAGGTTGAGGTCCTCACTTTTGAGATAAGTTGAAACGGAGAGTTAACGAGGCTCCGTCTTGCAGCTACATCCGGTTAAATATGTCATGTGACTTGAACGCTGGGGAGCGTCAATCGAATCGAATCAAACCTAACTCTCAGATGAATCTTCAAAATTCACCTCAGAAATATGCTTATTATTCTTCTCAGAGTACTGCAGGATACACACACACACACACACACACACACACACACACACACACACACACACACACACACACACACACACACACACACACACACACACACACACTCAGAGTCTGTTTTTTAGCACCTGCAAAAACATGCTATTTACATATTTGACAAGAATGCGGAGGCTTCCTTTTGCCCCTGAAAAAAATCAGATTTCAAACACAACTTGACTGGTCATTTCTCCAAAAGACAACCATGAAGCTCCATCCAAACCTGAAGCAGGCAGTTGGTGCATGTGTACAGTAACCTGAGGGGAGTGAGGTGACTGCTTCTGAGGAGAACATGAGCACTGAAGATTCACCTTGAAGCTAGAACAGGGACGTGCACATGATAATACAGGGGCAGGGGCTCAAGTTTTTTCCAGTCGTTTATACAATATGGAAATTAATGTGAAATTAAAAAACAAAGTATGACTGTCCTGTGTAGGTGACAGTGATATCCAATAGGCTAGGCACTCACGAGGCTGGCTGTGGCAAGTGTAAGTGAAAGCAACACGCACTGGCAGGAAGAACAGCAAACGCCGATGAAGGAAAAGGGTCTTTGCAGTGATGGGCGTTACCAGAGAGGGCGATGGCCAGAGGACACGAATGGGACGGGGAGGCAGCGCGTTGGGGGGGGGGTGCGACACGGCTCGGGCCCGCCAGTGCCCCAACGGGGCCCTAGTTAGTTTTGGTTCCAGCCCCCAACCACAAATTGCAGTTCATAGTGGATGGCTTTACTAAAGCTATTGTAATGGACTCTTTGGCCACTAGTGGGCAGAAGAACAAGGTTTAAACAACACTGCTCAGGTATCAGTGTCATTGTACTTAGTTTAAGTAAAAAGTCTTCAGTTAATCTTAATCACAGTTTTTTTCTGGCCCCATGCTGCAACATTCATCACAGGTCCAGCTTTTTCTCTCTTTCTGTGCGAAAAGTGACTTTGATGTGTTAGCTCATAAAGTCAGCGTTTAATTTACCAAGTTGGAAATAAGCAAAATCAGAGGTGGAAACAAGGTGGCTACATTGACTAAAGTTATTTTAGCCATTGCCTTGTCCGAATTTAAGGCAAGTGCTAAAATAACTTTCGTAGATGTAGCCATCTTGTTTCAGGTCTCAGATTTTGCTTTTTTCTGACTTGGTAACTGAAATGCTGGGAACTCGGGTGTGACATCATTTTCAGCTCTGACATCTGACTTCCGAGGTAACTCGAACGCACCATAAGAAAAGAGCTATGTTATAGCACCGCTAATGTATCATGGTTAAAAGATCACTGTCTGACGTGTTGGTTTGAGTTGCCAACGCTAGTTGAGCTAGCACCAACAGCCTCACGTTGCACATTAAGGTCCAAATGCATTTGCTGGTTCTGCCTGTGTAATGCTTCTGTTCATTTTACCAAACACCTCTGATAAACTGCTGTTTTCAGATCACAGCTGTGACATGCTCACCTGCTTGGTTAGCAAAGCATCAGGACCATAGACTGTATAAAGAATGGACACCATCTGCCTCCTTGCTGGGTTAAGCCACTCTGAGAACGGCACCCTCTGGTGACAGGCTGCAGTATAGGTCATAAGTCTCTCCTCCACCAGCCATCCTTATAGGGCTGTGGCCAAACATTAGAAATTAATTACACAGAATATAATTTTTTTTCTCCCCCCTGCTTGCGATGTTGACATGTAGTTACTGTGAGACTGCTTTCGACTGCTTTGTGCTCAAGTCCTCTATTTTCTGTGCAGCTCCGTTTTTAAAAGTTATTAGGGGGTTCATGTTTTCTATGATTAACACTTGATACAGCCTGTGGGTGTATGAAGATTATGTAGCTGTAGAGGTGAAATTTTTTCTTTTGGAGGATGGTAAGGGAAGGTCCCGCCCTTCTACACCTCTGATTGGCTATAAGTGCTGGGCTTCGATTGGTTATTCTTTATGACTGTGAAGCGTCATCGTCTGTCGGGTTAGGGTAAGGGTTAGGATTAGGGCTAGGGTTAGGCGATTCAGAATTGTGATTGTGCTTGGTTTCAGGAAGTGGAGAAAAAAATGGATTATTACTGAGAGCTTTTTGGCTTCAAATCCATATACTGGCGGAGCACGAGACCAAGTTGTCCATATAGTCTATGATCAGGACATTATGGTGGTAGCATGAGTTGTAGGTGGCTGTATCACCAGCATTTTGGGATCATGGTGACAGGAGTATTGAAAATGTGTTTAACCAGCTAGTTATTCTGGTGCCAACTAGAGAGGGTGTCAGTGTGAAACTGGGATTTAGTGGCTGTGTTATTGTTAGCCAAACACCCCAAAGGACTTGTTGAGTTATAAAATTTCCTCCATCCTCAGACAGATGGTGTAAACCACAGTGCCCTCCAGGTTTCCAAAAGATCTATATCTCAGAAAAACTGAATATAAAGATTATATGAGATACTGAAAGTAGGGCAAAAATAACCCCAGTACTCCTTCTGCATTCTTTCTCAGCTGATGCTGAGCCCAGAGAGAGAGAGAAAGCATCAGATGGAGAGAGGAGGAGGAGGGTGGTTAGGGGAGGGGCTGTGTTAGGCAGAGAGAGAGAGAGAGCGAGAGAGAGAGAGAGAGAGAGAGAGAGAGAGAGAGAGAGAGGCGGACACTCAGCGGCAGCAGGTTTGTGAGAGCAGCAGCCCAGAGGAGGAGGAGGAGGAGGAAGAAAGACGAAGAAGGAGGAGGAAGCGGAGGAATCAGAGCAAGAGAAAGCGTGTGGCTGCAGTCAGGAGGGACACAAACACAGAGAGGAAGAGGAACAAAGAAAAGCAGGTAAGAAAACACATCGTTTCTGCCCACGTTTCAGTCTCTTCAAGCTGTAGGTGAACGTGTTAAGACGCTCCAGTCCATCCAGTAAGCATGAACGTGTTTTCTTTCGCCTGTCTGCCAGCTGCCAGCTTTAGTATGAGGAGAAAACGAAGCGCCGTATCACTGCAGAGTGATGCAGAGAGATGGAGGAGGGAGAGTGGAAAAGGAGGGAGGGAGGGAGGGATGGAGGGCTGAACATTTACCGTACAGACATGAGGAAGTAAGAATAGAGAGAGGTGGAGGAGGGAACACGGATGACAAATAAACATCTGTCTGTGTTTTGTTGTGTGTCAGTGATAGTGTTTGCTCGTGCAGCATCTTGGTGTCATTAGAGTGTCTCAGCTGTCAGCCTCAGTAGTTCCCCTCCATGTTGGACACGAGAGAAGTTTCTGTTTGACCACACCCTCCAGATTAGATCATGGGTGCTTTGTGGTCCCATTTGTATGAAAGGTGTGAGTCTGGGATATGTGAGTGTGTGTGTGTGCGTGTGAGATTCATGTTGGATGTTGGCCAAACATGCTTAGTGTTGCCTCCTATTACTGTCACCAGGCGCTGGATAAGCTTGTGTGTGTGTGTGTGTGCGTGTGTGTGTGTGTGTGTGTGTGAGCACTGTTCATTCTCAGGGAGCTGAGCCAAGATGCTCGATCATGATCTGACCAAGATGTTGTCAGTCTCAGCTGTGAATGTGTGTGTTTGTATGTGTGTATGTGAGGACACCTTAATAGATGAACCAACCGCTGGTGTGTGAGTGTGTGTGTGTGTGTCTTTATTTACCAGTGTTGTGTCAGTACATATAGTACATCAAGGCTGTGGTGTTGATACTCACCAGCCTTCTGCTCCTTCATGCTTTGAGTTTTGATAAAGAGGAAAATTCTGCAGCATATTTGTGAAATCCCATGGCTCGGAAAGATTCTGTTATTTTGGTCCTGAAGCGCGGCCTGTTTACAACAGCTTTCCTGAGCATTTGTTGTTTTATAATCTCCATGCCAAGGCGTTTTCACAGCTCTGTGGACAATACATTTTCATTAACAGCTGTTATATTGGAGAGGGTCTTTCCCATGGTCCGTGTGCTCTCACAAGCATCACCAAATCTGCTCCAGATGGCACGCTCTGCATTAAAACATGCTTAGAAATACACATGAAGAGCTCACACATCGACATCAGGGAGTGCCTGACACCATCATTGATCATTTACAGTAAGTGTATTGGTTAAACCGTTACCTTATTTCACCTATCTGATCTGGATATTACACTGCTGATGATGGAGATGATGTAAAAAACAGTTCCTGATCAGAAACAGTTTCAACTTATTGAAGCCACCTGCATCATTTCAGACACTCTTATAGGTTTCCTCACCCTCCACTCAGAGCTGCATTACTCCTCATGTGAGGCAGTCAAGGAAGTAATCACGGTGATCAGAGGACAGGAGCAGTCCAAAACTCTACCATATGCAACTAAATATTGTTGTCTTTGCAATATCAGCTCCACAGATTTCAGAGTCGATCAGTGTACTTTCCATATCCAGTCCCTCAGTAATAAAAGGGATTCGGCGATATACTTAAAATCTGTTGTTAGCTGACTATGTTTATGGAAGGCTGCCATCTTTGTTGTGGTCTGTCATCCAATTAGAGGGTCTATTTATGATTGGCTGACCTGTAAAGGCCCAATTAGAAGTCAGGCTACACACCAACACCTGAGTGTCTCATGTTCTGAAACACTGCCTAAGGTTATTAAGGACAATCAACTTACAGTACATTTACATACACAGGTAAGTCATGGCTCGATCAGACAACACAGTTACTTTTACAGCTCTGTGCCATTTGTATATTAGGAAAGATTCCTTTTTTTCATCTGGCAAGGTTTTGTTTACTACCCCGCTTTCTTGCAACACTTTCCTGCTTGCTTCTAGCTCAAAGCCTGGCGTGCAAAGCATTGAAGCATGTGAAGAACGCTCACACCAAATTTAGTCGTTTGAGCCTTTAACATAACAGAGAAAATAGATCTCCAACCTCCGGGTTTGTTAAACCAATTATGAGACATTCATTTCAAGGTGATTTCAGTCGGGCTAACAAGTTTATATTTTCAGTCAGACTTAAGGGAAAAATTAATTTTTGTGAAATACTGACTGTTACATTATATGTACAGTACGTTTTGCCAATGTTCAAACCTTCTCCTTAGTCAGGCTTTGGCATTGTGAAGAAAATTCACTGCTGTGAATATCATAAAACTATGACATTAAACAAAGCTAAAAGCTAACCAAGGCCTAACCAAAATCAAACTATCTAATCACAAACCAGACCTTAACCACTGTATGCTCACATCTCACCAGAAGTTTTGAAAAATGATTTTTAACTGTCCTTATAGAACAGCTGACCCCCCAAAAAACCCTCTCTGGTAAAAGGTAGATCCTTCAAAAACTCATACATCTGAGCTCATATTGGACAAGGCATCACAGAGACTTTGAAACCTGAAGAAACGGCCAATCACGGGCCTCCTGAACTTGCTGATGTCACAGCACCACAAGGGCTGGTCTCTAAAAGCTTGTGCCAGTGTAACCAAGAGTAAGAAGATTTAAGAAACATAAAGATTGCATGGAGACAGAGCGGAGAGGAAACAAGAAAATGTGTGTGTGTGAGTGTGTATGTGGGGACGGGATGCAGGATGCCAGAGCTCGTGTATGATGGAGTCCTGTGAGCAAAAAAGCCGATCCGTTTATGAATGAGCATCTCAAGTGTGGGTGAGCAACATGAAGCATCACATTCAGTGTTATTTTGGTGAGCAAGTCTTTAATTGAACACAGGATTATGATTTTAATGCAGGAGCAATACACTGGTAACAGCTGATCTGTCTGCGCTCCAGCTAAATGTGTCTGGATGAGCGTTATGTGACGGAGGCTGTTATATGATCAGCTGACTTCTGACCTCACTGCAGCTCCAGCATGTTTGTGTGATCTGCAGCTAAGCTCTTAACTAGATTTGAAGCGAAAAGTCATATTTGTGGGGATGAAATGCACAAAGTGTGATCTCTGACTCTATTTGTGGATCAGTGACGTGTGCTGATGTTGTGTTCATAGTACTGTATTTGCAGTGAGGATATAAAGCGCTGACCTGCTGCTTCCTGAAGTCACAGACTTGAACTTGGACTCATGTCTGCAGGTTTTCTCACAGCTGCAAAACCAGAGGTCGTACACTGATTCAAGTATTGACACTATGCTATAGGGCTTGTATCACAATCACGATTACTTTGACTGACATTGACATCATGACTAATAAAAGAATATCTATATCCTATTTTTAAAACTTTTGTTAAAAATTATTACTCATGATTTGTCATCTGCATCACACTCATGCGCAACTCAAAACCTCATTAGAAATTAAAAACTCTTTAATACTTGAAGAATAAAACAGGGAAAATCTGTTTAATACACCTTTTTGGTTTCAGCATTTCTATCTAACTGGATGATTTGGTTTTTCGAAAAGTCACATGTACTAGAACTGAAAGAGACCATGCATCAATTATTTACCTTACTTTAAAAGCTCTGAATAAACTTTGGTGATAATTCATTTAATCAAATGTCATATTTAGCTTGAAGTAAAGCAGGATAATGTTAGCTCTTTGACCGCTCATATTCACAGGCTGCAGATCTATCAAATCAATTAGTCTTTTCAAGTCTCTATATAACCTCCTTTATAATTTCAAGGCTGGAGTTTAAATTTGATTATGATTCAGAATGATGAGTCACTTTTTAGCTGCAGTCATTGACTGGTTAGTCACTACAACCTCTCGCTCTCAATCTGTCCCTCGGCTTTTCAGACACTCTCAGATACACATACCTGCTCCCTCCTGCTCCTCTCCCTGCTCTCTTCTCTCCACTGGCAGCTTTGTGATAGTTTGTGTTGCTGTTGGAAAACATGTTAAAGATATAGCTGCCCACCATTATCCTAGCTGTAGCCACAACTTCCTCATGTTCCCAAACTTTGCTTCTCATTGATCTGAGCTGCTTATAATAAAAGTGAAAGTGAGAGCTGTCTGGATAGTCATGTTTTTATGATTGCATCCAAATTTTTATAAACATCAAAATCCGGTTGATGGCCCAGATCTACAATGTGTACTAGTAAACTCTTCTCTGTACGCAAAAGGTGGCTGCTTTGGCTGCAATGTTAGCTTGTCATAACAGCCTTAATTTGTACCAAAATTATTGGTAGCAGCCAACACGAGCCAATAGTGATTATTACAGAAAATACTTGAATCAAAAAGAAACAGCTTTGAAAACAGCAACACAGTGAAAGCTAACATTAGCCTGAGACAGAAAGCAGATGACATTTAGCTTTGACATTGCAATTGGTAGATTTACAAACTTAGTTACATGTCTGAGAACCATGTGGTCGCTCATCAGCTCATTAGCTTTTAACGCTCTTAGTTTATGTCTAAGAACGGGCTTGTCGCTTGTATTCCCACAGTCCAATCGTCAGTTTTAAAGAGGGACTCCCACCTCTACTCTCCTTTACCATTATTCGTTATAACAGGAAAACAAAGTGATTAAAATGTCTGTTTGTCTGCTTTGGGTTCCCGTAGGATACGACTCAATAAATGGTGAAAATCAAACAGGCTCATCATCATCTAACTGTGTAATTGAGGGGATGCTTCAGGTGCAACACTTAGCAGAAAATGAGTCTGTTGGTGACTGTGGTGTGAAATCTCAAAGGGATGAGTAAAGCTGTTTCTTTTACCGTAAACAAAACAATGACTGATGTATCAACAGTTGTTTTAGTCTTCACCAGCTGATGACGGTTTCACCAGAGGCAATTTTAGATTTTCTCTCTTTGCAGCACCCACACTGAACCATGACTGCCAATATCAAATCAAAACACATACTTAGTACCCAGAACCACCACGCTGACACTAAGACGTCAATGTGTTATGTTAGAGGCAGCTGATGAAGCCCCTGGAAGCCGGCCTGAAACAGAGGAGAGTAGCAGAAGTCTGGTAGGCGTATGTCTTTGTCACTTCTAACTTGTAGACTGCAGCTTCAGTCGGCATTTATCAGACCTTGCTCTGCTCCCTCTGGAGCCACAAAAGGCTTTGTACAGCTTTTTTAACATATGCAGTATCACCCCCAAGACATTTCAGTGACTTTGATGTGAAAATCTGTTTCTGCTGCCCTAAAAATAACTTCATTTCAATAGAGTTATATCAATCAGCGCATTCTTGCATAAATCTATGCAGTTTCTGCTGCTCTACTGACTTTGGAGAGCTTTTTATTTACTAGAATGATTTTTAACATGAAATGACAGTTTTTAATTCTATAGCAATAAATGACAAGGTTTTTGAAATTAGGGAGCTAACATTATACTGATCTGTATCACCCAGACTGCAGTGCAACCATAGCTTATTCTTTGAAGACTAAATAAATATATCTTCATGAAAATGTCACACTCTTCAAGGTATTCCCTCTCTCTGTATGAGCATAACCCCCCTGTGGAGACGCTCACACACACTTCACTTTGATGACCTCACCATCACCAAATTGACATTGATCATCCATCTGCAGGTCAGATCGCTAATAAGCTGCTCAGCTGCAGCCTGTAAATATCATTTAATTGAGCTTCAAATGTCACTGAGGTACAATTAAATGTCAGTGGGGTCCTTCCTCTTTTGTGCGACTGAAACACACTAACTTTGAAAGTGTTTCTCTGTGTTAATTACAGACACAAGCTGAAGTACCAAATCATTCCTGGTGACTCTGTATTGATAGTTACGTATATTTCTTTCCTTTGGGTTGAAATTATGGAGGTTAGATGAAGAAAACCGACTTTGATCTGACACGCTTGAGAAAGCAGAGGCTGCCTCCTGTGTGTTGATACTCCTGACAGAACAAAGAAAGAAGTGCTTCCTTGCTCCTCCTACTTCCCTCTCCCTCATCTTTTCTCTTGGCTTTGTCATTATTCATGAGTTTTTTGCTACATCTGTCTGTCAGTCTGTGACTTTGCTGTAGTTGATCATATTCTGACTGTACCTTCATTGCACAAGGCCAAAAATGCATCAGGAGGAGAGGAAAAAAAAAAAAAGGCAACTCAGGGACTGTAAGTTTTTACATAAATCAGCATTCATCAATGCAAAATAGTTCAGCCAACAACACTGTGCTTCCTGCACTGGTAACATTATTGATATCCTATAACTTGAATGTTCATAAAAGTCTTGGACACTTGGTTGCACAGAGTAAAGTGGACATTTAATTATCATAATTATGTAGTTTTGTTCAGTGCTTTGATCAATACATCAATCAAGCTTTATTTCCACAGCAACTTTCACACTCATCCAATGCAAGCCAGTCTGCAACAAGAAAATACAGAAAATAATTTCAAAACATGCATATTAAAAAAAAAAAACTGGATTTAGAATTAGAGGCCTATGCACAACACAAAGTGAGGACATTTCTGCAGATTTTTGTGCAAAAAGACATGCTATCTGTTAGTCCATACCATTATGCCAAATGTAGTATAACAACAGTAGTAAGTTGTGCTGTTGGACCAGATTGCATGCTGCAGTTTTTATGCTCTGTATACAAGTTTGAGGTCTGGACTGAAAAGGAGCATGACAGACTACATGCAAAATAAACTCTGACAGGGCCCAAAGGGGAAAAAAAGGAAATTAAAAGAGATACTGAATATGTTTTTTTTTTCTCCTTTGAATGAAATCTGTGTGGCAGCAAAATGAGACCATGCACTTTCCTGAAGACAAGTAGATTCAGTTTGTGTTCACAGCCTCTGTAGCAGCTGTGTGAATCATTTGGTTCATATAGAAAATATTAGCATGCTGATTATAATGGTATTAATTACCAAGTTCACCCAGCTGATTTTGTCTATTCATGGTGTAATGCTATTTAATTTGCAACCATTAATCAAACTATTGGACAGTTTTGGATCATCTCATAAACAGTTCATAGTGATGAAGATGCAAAAGCTGTAAAAACCTCATGACAGTGTTTACTGACTATTTCAGGGACATGTCAAATCAAACATTTCAAATGAAGAAAAATCAACAGTTTTAACCAAACAAGCATGTGAATAAATTTACAGAAAAGTCTCCCTGCAAGACAACACAACATAATAAGCATCAGGATGAAGACACCGTCCAGACACAAAGACATGAACAGCCCAGTGCTGAATACATCTGGACTATCTGGCCCTTTGTGGTGTTTCCCGCTGTTTGCCATCAGACAGCTGTGTGATACAACCAGATCTGGTGGTTAATGTTATTGACTTGTGTTTTGCAGGAAGCATGGAGGATATTGAGCGGAGTGACAGGGCTAATGATCAGTGAGGGCTGCACTAATCCAGCTGTCTATGCAGCATTTTAGATGGCTGTGGGTTTAAATCGATTATACCGTTTCCAGGGCTTAATATGAGAATGATAAGTAGCTGAAATGATAATGGTAACGTTTTCATTTATTACATCATTGGTTAAAACTCTCAGTTCATTGATTCCCTTGAACAAATGTCTGCTAAACTGAGGACACCCCTCTGATCTGCAGGGAAATATAGCAACAGCATAAAAAGATGCTTAACGGGTCAGCGATTCTATTTCTTTTTTCCTTTTTTAGCCATATTAGATGTATATATGATACATGTTAGATAAATGTAGCTGCCAGGTTTTAAAAGTGGAACCAATGCAACATTAATTAAACCTCAATATTTTTCTAATGACGTGCAGGAAGGGAGCTACTGTGGTAGCATGAAACCACATTGGGAAATAATTATTTATCACACCTGCACTCTACCTCAGTTAACACCTCCCCATGATGTCGTTTGTTAGTTTCAAATTCTCTGTAATACAGGGTGATGTTTATTTTTTTTACTTTGCATCCCAGTGAGAGTTAAACAGGAACTACACCTGCTGTAACAGATCATGTCTATGTTTGTCCAGGTGTGGCTGCTTCTGCAAAAAGAATGTCACAATGCAGAACCAATAGATGCAGTCACAGTGGATATGTCCACTCATAGTGAATCTAAAAAGCTGCATTAACCTCCTGAGGAACATATCACGGGTTAGAGGACTGTGAAAAACTGGTCTTGACTGCTATAACAAAATCAGAAAATATAAGATCCATTAAAACTGTGATTTTTTTAAACTTTGGTATTTAATGGCTTGTTTAAATAAACTATAAATATTTATTTTAGATGATGGAAATGTCTCATTTTTATGATTTGTATAAACTTTCTCACAGTATTTTTACTGTCTTGTGTAAAGCATTTTGAATGCAGGAATATTCCTTATATAAGCGTTGTCATATTTTACCTTGTGCACAGACATACATGCTTGTGTAAGTTCTTGTTGAAGTGCAGTGCCTTCATATCATGCGAGGGTTACAAACACATCACTGTTGACAGGAAAAAGTACAGTCTGGGTAATCATGTTTGTCAAAGGGGAAGTTTGTGAAAAGAGTGCAGTGCAGTTGAAATCCAACTTTTCAATGCAGATGGTGAGCATTACACCTGCTGATAAAAAAGCCTGATTGAAGATTGAAATCAATTTTATCAATTTTTTATTAAAGCTTTGCAGTCATGGACATTTTTGTTTAGATGTGAGTTAATCAGAGCAGAGAAGCTAAATCTCATGTTCTTCAGTTACAGAATGATGTAAATACTCTCATTAGAGATTGATGAGCTGCTAAAGACATTAAGGTCCTCTACCATTAAGAGTGCTGTGACACAGTACCTCAGTTGTCTCACACAGGTTTGCACCCTGCTGTCCGACACACCACCACAGAGTGCTGGAGTTATTAATGAGAGCAGCACTGAATGTTTATCTCACCACCACAGCTCTTTAAAGCCAGTAGGTGTCCACATACACACCTACACAATCACAGATGTGCTGTAAAAAAAGGGAAGTCTACAAAGGGATGATCTATGGCCATAATTAGTGCCTTTATGTCAGGTGTTTGCACACACTACTGTTCAGTTGATCCTAAAGTTGGAAAGCATTAATTTGCACCTGAATGAAATCTCTCATTGAATGTCTTTCCCTCTCCTCCCAGGTTTCCTCTCCCCTCACCTCACTGACCCATGAAAGAAGCCATGCCAGTCCTCACAGCAGGAGCAGGTGAGATGAGTTGGTTCATAAGCTTGACACATACTGCCTGTAGCTCGCTGTGCTCCATCTGTTCATGCTAAATCCAAACGGTGGGTTTTCTTCTCCCTCCTGTGCAGGTCTGCACGAGACGCTGGCCCTGCTGACCTCTCAGCTGCGGCCTGATGCCAATCATAAAGAGGACATGGTCTTCCTCAAAGACGTCTTCAGTGAGAGGAGTTTGGGATACCTCATGAAGGTGAGGTTGTTACCACTGTATGACATCCATTATTTACATGGTGATGCAACAGAGCGTGTTAGACAGACATGTCTGAGGCGTTTGTTTTTAAGTTTTAGCGTTATTAACGTATTTTTCTTAAACAGTATCTTATCAGGCACAAGTCCAGAAATATATCTTAAATATTACATGCCAAAAATAAAACCTGAATTGATTGTAATGAGTTTTAAAAATCAGCCAATGGAAAAGGAAAAATGTAACTTATCAGGTTCTTGAAATAAGACATTTTCTCTAATTCATTACATTTCTTGTAATATGACAATTTCACTCAAAATAAGACAGAAATATTGCAGAGATTCTAATTTTTGCAGATTAGACACTCAAATCAGTATGACCACTTCAATGTCCACCACATCAGTTTACAACAACTAAGTAAAAAGACCATGGTCCCCTTACTCCTTTGGTCCGGGTGGTATGAACGCACAAGCGAATTGTAGCCTGGATCAAACAAACAGACCATGGTCCTTGAAAAGTCAGTCCCCTTCCAAACGTACAATGGTCTGGTCTATGGCGGGTGTGAATGCAACCCTGATGCAGCCGGACATTTATATGTCAATATAAACCAATAACACATTTACACTGGGTAATTATGTCCTGCTGGAGGTTGCAGCAGACAGAGAACAGCCGGTCAAAACACCGGGCTGTTCATAAAACTTGATGAATGGCAGAGGTTTTGTGTTCTAATACAAGAGTCAGCTGATAAATATTAAATACTTTGGTGTTCTTTTGTTCATCAAATATGCTGACAATGTGTTATAGGCATTCCTTTGAATTAATGCACAACGTCTCCACCACCTCTGATGAATTGCGTGAAGCAAGATGCCTTTTGTTCTCTCTGGTCAGCTGCTTTCTGTGCGTTGTGGGACAATGAAGATTGTCTTGGATAGAACATTTCTTCCTCTGACCTCCTCTCTACACTGACTTTCATACTGCTGTCTCACAGGTCCTCCTTCAAGAGGTTACCTGCTGAAAATGAACGTGAGCATCGGGAAAAATTAGCTTCTTGTACAAATCATATATATCTTACAAGACCTTGTGATTCGAGAGTACTGTCCACATGTGAAGCTACAGTATGTCAAACTTATTCAAAGTTTTGAAATGTGATTTGGCAATTTGTTAATTGTGGGGAAGGGTTTTTGGTTTTCTGTAGCTTTTACTTGAAACTATCTGATGCAAAATAGCAAAAGTGGAAAAATCTGTAATTCCAGTAAATTTCGTTGTTGAAACTCTGTGTTGCTGCCATTCTTGGCCAGCTCACCCTTGAAAAAGAGATCTCTGGTCCCAGTATGACTAAGTTGGCTAAAGGAAGGAAGGATAAATATTTAAATGATTCTCTGGTTTATGTTTACATCTACTTTACCCAATTTTTTTCTATATGTGCATTTCTCTCCCTATGGTTTCATCCAGTCTTTTCAATCAGTAAACTGTAGTTTTAAAATACCTGCAAATGGGGGAAGTCTGCAAATATTCCACTGGGGGAAGAGCGTTCACTGGTTTGACCTCAGTGATTTCACACTCCTGTGAATAACAGCAGGATCAACCAGATTTCCAAAAAGTCTTGAACACAGTTTTAACCTTGAATTTGTCAAATCAGTCTCTAAACTTTCTCCTCTCTGCGTGTTTGTGCTTCAGATCCACGAGAAACTGAGACAGTATGAAAGACAGAGTCCGACACCCGTCCTTCACAGTGCCTCCTCCCTGGCAGACGATGTAAGTTCATCTCACACACACACACACACACACACACACACACACACACACACACACACACACACACACACACACACACACACACACACACAGTCCTCCCACACACACTCGCCCTAAATTACTTTTCCACTCGGGCCCTGCAGTCAGTCACCATGAGTTAGCTCTGACAGAGAAGCGATGCAGGTATCAAAAGTGAATTTTAATGTTGTCAAAGTGCTGACTCATCCTGATTCTCATCTAATGAAACTCCATCTCCTCACCAGTAAGCAGCGGGCTGGAGGAAACTGCTGACCTCAGCTGCTCGCCACTTATCTCCCCCCGTGTGCACGTCTGTGTATCTGTCTGTGTTTAATCTACAGGAAAGTGCAGCCAGCATTACTGGCATACACATGCTCAGGTTCACCTCAGGTCATGGTTTCTGTGTGTTTTGTGATCCTCAGGTGGCGGAGGAGCTGCAGAGCGGGCCGATGAGCACAGAGGAGAAGGAGCTGTTGCACCTGCTGACATCGCCACATCTGAAAGTAAAAACCTCTCAGCGTTTGATCAAGAGAAGCACCAGAAGAAGCACGTCTGCTCTGTGTTCAGACCCTAACTTCTTCTCTGTCTCATCAGGCTGTTCTCTCTGTGCATGACACTGTGGCTCAGAAAAATTTCGACCCTGTGCTGCCGCCGCTGCCGGATGATTTGGAGGATGAGCTGGAGGAGGAGTCAGTGAAGATTGTCCGGCTGGTGAAGAACAAGGAGCCTCTGGTGAGCTGTGAAAGGATTAGAGAGGAGAGTATTACAGCCTGCAGGAGTGGAAGAGATGATATTATTCTTCTTTTCTGTTTCTGTTACCCAGGGAGCCACTATTAGACGAGATGAAGCTACTGGTGCTGTGATCGTGGCCCGGATCATGAGAGGAGGTGCAGCTGACCGGAGTGGTGAGTTCTTCTAATCTGGTCTCTGCAGGTTTTAAAAACCTCCACACTTCTTGTGTTATCAAATTAATTACCTCAACAGGTTCATAACAGAGAGCTGGAGGGGAAGGCTGTGGAAACACAGATTTTTCTCCTCATTCGTATGAATGTGTTTTAAAGATTTAACTTCAGGATGAGAAATGATTCATGGACACAAAACTTGATCAAAACTATTTCTAAAAGTGAATCCAAGAATATGAGTGTTAACATCTACCACATAAACAAAGCTTTAAAAGAGGACAATAATGTAAAGTTGGGAAAATGTAGATCATTAATGGTTCATGTGTACTAAAGCTCCTATGAAGAACTTTTACTCTGGGTTGATCTCAAGGTATCCTGCTTCTAATTTTCAAATTCACTTTATCAGACACCTGCTGCAGTTTTAGATGTAAAAAACTATGACACAGACAATTTTCATTATGATTATCATATTTTTAAAGGGATATTCTGGTGTAAAATCAGGGTCAAAAGGGTCAAACACACTGTAACACAGAGTTAGACGCCCCCTCGAGAGATGAATGTTGCCGACGCTTGCTTCTCAAGTCAACCAACTTTAGTAACAACCACACGATAGAAATACACAGCGGTCTACGTCTCCACGTGCAAAGCTCTACCAAAAAGCCACTCTATAGCCACAAATAATGCTCAGAACAGCACCTAACTTCATCAACAGAACATATAGGGTCCCAGCCATAGTACTAGCCACCAAACATCTTTTTAGCTTTGCCTAGTTTCTTTAGCAAAGAGACTAAAAACAACTTACCTCCTCTCCTCTAGCAGCCACTTGTTTGTAGGGAAGCCCTGACGAGTCGATCACCGAGTGCAGCAGATCATTTCCATGAAGTAATAACCATCATAATAATCATTTTGCACTGCAGACACAGTAGTTCCTCTGCCTTAGTGTCTCGGTCTGATTACATTTCCATGAAGTAATGATCATAAATGTTCTTCCTGGAGCTGCGAAACTCCGCTGCACTCTGTGATCAACTTGTCAGGGCTCGCCCCCCCACACAAACAAGTTGCGACTGGAGGAGAGTGGGTGAGTTGTGATTAGTCTCTTTTCTAAACAAAACCAGGCAAAGCTAAAAGGATGTTTGTTGGTTAGTGCTATGGCTGGGACTCTATATGTACTGTTGATTAAGCTAGGTGCTGTTCTGAGCATTATTTGTGGCTATAGAGTGGCTTTTCGGTTGAGATGTGCATGTGGAGACATAGACAGGTATGTATTGATATCGTGCCACCGTTACTAAAGATAGTATAACAAGAGAATCAAGAAGTCGGCAACATTCATCTCTTGATGGGGTGTCTAACTATGTGTTATGGTGTGTTTGACCTTAACTTAATTTTATGCCGCAGTATCCCTTTAATTTTCAAGTTCATGAAATGCATCAAAATGAACTTCAGTTTCTTTAAGGAGCAGTAGTAGTAGGAGGTTGTTTTGGAGCTGTAAAGTCACTAGCATCTATTTTCTCTGGTGCCAAATGAGATAAAACTTCAGGGCACTGCCTCTTGTAAAATAACAGGTTTTCTCTAGTGCCTTATAATGACTCAGATCTTTAATCAACGGGCTAAAGGGTGGAGGGAGTTTCTCTGTCTGTTTAAGGAGTTATAAATGCTACTGCACTCTTTCATGGGATGTAAAATGCAGTGCTGGTGAAGATACTTAAAATAATGCCAAGGTAGGCCAGGATGTCAGAGAGCTTTTTGAAAACTGATCATGGGGAATTTATTTAGTTCTGGACAGAATTAAAACATATATGAGATGGTTGACAATGTAAAAATAAAGTTTAAAATGATGCCACAGTGAAGAATAGATCTAACTCAAATATTTCATGTGGAAAAAGTTCCCTACAAGATACTATAGTTACCTCTGAGCCATATTAGTATGCATTTATCTTTGTGAAACAGCAGTACACAAACTATGCAGATAGTGTATGTATGTTCATGCAGGATACAACAATATTAGAGGCTGATACTGACAGAGAGATGAAAGCCTCAGTGAGAGAGAGGGTGAGAGATGCAGCAGCAGCAGGAGGAGGAGAAATACGAGAGCGATACTGCGGTTTCTGAAACTCAGAGCTCTCCAGAGAATCCATCACATATGGTACAAACTCTTCAAAGATCCTTTCATGGGCGTTACCATAGCAAATCAGCCATGCCAGGGAGTAACTGTGTGTGATTTATCATTAGAGCCGTGCATGCTGGGAAAGTAAAACCAATCAGGGTCGGCTCCCATTAATCATTCAAGTCTCTCTCTCTGTTTTCTTGCTGCGTCATGTGATGGAAAACTGAGATAGAAGCTGCAGAGGGAGATCATAGACTCCGCCTCAGGCCTCTCTGTGTGTCTGCTAATTGCATACATTAAACTGAATGTGTTGGATGCCACAGTAGTGTGTCTGCTGTGTGGTTCTCTGCCCTGAGGGAGAAGCGTATTGATCCGACTTTCTCTCAGACTTTGATTTCATTGTTGTGGCTGCAGCTGAACAGATAACAGTGCTGGATATCTGCAGATCTGACAGTGATACTCATGCTAATCCCGAAGAGCGCCAGAAATGTTGTCAATATCTCTGTCCCCTGTCCCCTGTCTGTCCTCCTCTTAGGTTTGGTGCATGTTGGAGATGAACTCAGGGAGGTCAATGGAGTTTCTGTGATCCACAAGAGACCAGATGAGATCAGTCAGCTGCTGGTAAGAAGGAGAATACTTTCGCTTTGGGCTCTCACTGATTAAAAGAAAAGGTAAAGCCTGAAAGAAAGTTTAATTAGGTTTACTTGTACTCCACCAATCCCCTTTACAGTGATTGTAAGACAAATAATAGTATAGGCTTTTACGTAAAAGAAAAGGCAGCTATGATAGACTGAAAAAGAAAACTGATCCGTGTGAGAAGTCTGAGATCTGTTTGTCATTCAAGAAAGGACAGGATCAGCATGTCGAAACAGCTGCTTTCTGTTTATAACAACATGACCAATGTTGAACCGAGAGGCTGAAAATAATACATAAGTGATCATGAGGTCAGAACGTAATTAATCATAAATTTACTCTCGCAAGCCACTTTATTAGGTACACCTGTTCAATTGCTTGTTGACACAAATAGCTAATTAGCCAATCACATGGCAGCAACTCAGTGCATTCAGGCATGTAGACTTGGTCTAGACTCTAGACAACTTGCGAAATCCAAACTGAGCATCAGAACTAGGAAAAAAGGATTGGAAGGAAAAAGAGAAAATATCCAATGTGTAGCAGTTGTGCAGTTAAAAATGTCTTGTAGATGTTAGAGGTCAGAGGAGAATGGGCAGACTGGTTAGAGATGATGGAAAGGCAGCAAGAAGTCAAATAAACACTGGTATGCAGAATAGCATCTCTGAACGTCCAACACGTCCAACTTTGAAGCAGATGAGCTACAGCAGCAGAGGACCACTTGTATCAGCTAAGACCAGGAAACTGAGGGTACAAGTCCCACAGGCTAACAGGTAGAAGACTGGAAAAACATTCACTGGTCTGATGAGTCTGGATTTTTGCTGCAATATTCAGATGGTGGGTCAGGATGTGGTGGAACAGGATTTTCACATCATAGATGCACAGCTGGCAAATCTGCAGCACCTGCATGATGCTCTGGTGTTAATGGGAGCAAAAATCTCTGAGGAAGGTTTCCAACATCTCAATGAAAGTATGCCACAAAGAATTAGGGCAGTTCTGAAAGCAAAAGTGGGTCCAATGTGGCTCACAAGGTGTACCTAATAAAGTGGCCGGTGAGTGTATGTGAAAGTAAAGTAAATTCGACAGTTTTATCCTGTTCCTGTCCCAAACAGAAGTAAATATAGAAACTGGTAAACTATAAACTTTAAAGTGAGTGAGGATGGTTTCGACTGAGGCTCTCTCAGTTCTCATTTTTTTAAGCGAGGGTGACCTTACAGTCCATTAAAAGTTGAATCCATCTAAGTTCCACAGCAGGATGCCTTAATGCTTTAAGTATATTAGGAGCTGGTTTTTAATTTGAAGCTGTGCTCACAATCTTCTCTCCTCTTCACCCCTGTCTGTGGGTGATCCAGTCCCAGTCCCAGGGCTCCATCACACTAAAGATAATCCCTGCCATTAAAGAAGAGGACCGCCTGAAGGAGAGCAAGGTGAGATGAGGTATCAGTACAACAGAGCATGCTCAGATCTCTGTGGAGAAATGAATATTATAGTCCAAGTCTGTAAGCACTGACAAACCTTTCCTAAATTTTCAGTATCAGCAGTCATGGGTCTATTTCCTGTTGATTTCAGGTGTACGTGAGAGCGTTGTTCGACTACATCCCCTTGGAAGACAAAGCAACACCTTGCCAAGAAGCTGGACTTCCCTTTAAGCGCGGTGACATCCTGCAGGTGGTGACCCAAGATGACCCCACGTGGTGGCAGGCCAAGCGTGTTGGAGACAGCAACCTTCGAGCTGGACTCGTCCCCTCCAAACAGTTCCAGGAAAGGTGAGAGCACACAGCGTGAGCCATGCATCAACACATGCCATCGTATTACTACCAGGATTTGATGGTTTACAAACACAGCCCTGATATCGATTTTATTCAGCCATTCCTAATCTGTTAAATCCACATCCATGTGCTCCACTTTGAGGGGTCGAATATGATTAGATAGAGCATCAAAGCAGCATGAAAAATAGCTAAACACAGCCTTGAATAGACGAGTGCTGATACTGTTAGTGTCATAATCCATCAGTAAGATGATCTCAGCAGGCCGGGAGATCCCTGCCAAACACTGCAGCAGCAGCATCTGTTGGATTTATAACCCCAGCTTAAACACAGAGAGATTCACAGATCAGAGGGCCATCCGAGCTCGGTCATGTTGAAAAGATGGGATTTCTGGGTTGAATAAATTGTAAATACTGTATGTTCAAGCTTAACACCCGCAAAGAGGCATAAAAACATGAAGGAAAAAAAGACATTAAGTCTTCAAAGAAACACAAAAGCATCACTTTTTCTGAGCAAAAACTACTTGAATGAGAAGAAACACACACTTAACCTAAAGAGCTGGATTTATAGAGATACAAAACAACCCCAAAGACGTAAAATATCTTACTGCTAAGAGACACTGAGTAGAAAAACAGAAAGAGGGACCAAATTGAGGGGCACAAACACCATAGTAAGCCACACAAACACAAAAGAAATACACAATGTGACACAGAGAGGCAAAAAAAATGAGGAGGTGCAAAAAACTGCAAAATTGCAAATATGAATAAAAAAAAGACATTTAGTAGTCAAAGAAACACAAAGCATCACTGTTATAAGCAAAAATTACCTAAGTGAGAAGAGAAATGCAGTTCCCCTAGGAGCTGAATGTATAAAAACACAAAGAAGAGCCTAAATGAGAGACATAAAGACGAATGTGAGACACAATGTGACCACAGAGAGGCATACTGTCCTGGAGGGGAGAGAGAGAAAGAAAGAGAGAGAGGGGAGAGAGAGAGAAAGAGGCCCATTACTATCATGAAGTGAGGCAAAAATGCTGTAAAGGTCATCAAGTTGATCCAAAATTAGCACAAGGAAACACAGTACCATATCAACACACATCATTCAAAATATTTGTAAAATACTGTAAAATTGAAAAACAATAAACAACGTTGAATCCATTCTACAAAAGACAAAAGAAAACCGCAGAACAAGAGTTAAAGGTGGATACAGACAACAAAATATACAACAATATTTAGGGGCAAAAAGACACAAAGGACAAAGAAAACAACCACATACACACACAAAACGACTGCAGAGAAGCTACATTGTGGGTTTCCTGCTCTTATGAAAATGGGCCTCTCTTTGATAAATGCATGCTGCAGCCCATTGTCTCATAAGATGTTGAAGTGATGTATGGTCCTCTCCTACATGTTTGAATCTTTGATCCACCTCTCTGAAAACTCCTCCTCACCTTTGGCTTCCTGTATATTTATGTCCTGATGATTCTCTTCTTGCCTCCATCCTCTTTTGCTTTTCATCCTCTGTGGCACTTTCCTCCAGGCGACTGGCTTACAGGATGAAAATGGGCACGCTCCCGAATCCTAAATCGCCTAAAAAGCCTGTCTGTAAGTTTCTGCTTCTCAGGACTCCTCTGCATCTTCAGCATTATCTCATAATTACAACCTGCAGCATCTCTCACCATCGGCTCTCCTTTTTTCTTCTCAAGCACTCGGTCACTGTCACTAGAAGACAATAATATCTCAGCTGGATAAATGCGCCTGTGTTTTCATTGACATTTATTGACCTTTTTTCTGCTGGTAATTGGCATTCTCAGAGGCATTAGCATTCACTGTCCGTCCTCCGCATGCTGCTGTGTAGACATGCTTTTAAAAGGGATGAGAGGGAGCTGGAGGGGCGCTGAGAGGGAAGAGAGAGAGGGATAACAGATATGAATTAATCTCTTTCATGTTTTGGTCCATCTGGCTCGCCAGCTCGGCTTACGCGGAACCAGAGAGCGCTATAACAAAGCCTCAACAATACATCCTTCTTGTCACTTTCTCACTCCACGCTGCAAAGGCAGCGGTGTGTAAACAGACAGGTAGAGAGGGTCATGTGAGTGGCAGCTCTTTGTGGCGCTTAAGCTGCAGACGATCTGATTAAGCCTTAGCCAAGGGGAGACAACAAGATCTTAGCAATATGGCAGCTTGCTGTACTGTGCTATGCAAGCAGCAGCTAGTCTGCAGTGGGGACTCTGAGCCTCTTCAAAGCTCCTCCAACTCTCTGATTAAGTCCCCTTAAATCCCAGCAGGGGCGCTCTAATGTCCCTCTATGCCCCTTTAAATTTCAAATCCCAAATCCACCTTCCATAAATTCCCAAATCTTTCCTTATATTTGCGCATCTTTAGCCTGTTTTAACCTGTTCTAATGATCTAACACTCTGTTTTTCCTTGTTGCAAACTGTATCAGATGACCAAGGATGTGATAAAGGTGGGTCCACATGCACCACCAGTCAACACTATTTGTCTGAATTGTGCAGAAATCACACAAAAGTGTACACACAGAGGCCTACAAGTGTGTGTGTGTGTGTGACTGTGTTTGTGTGCCTGTTGGGGTGTGATTTTTCCAATATTCATTCCCTCCAGCTTAACTTTCCCCTCCTGCTGTTAGTGAACCAGAGCAGAATAGCGAATTCTTTGCTTAGTCTTGTTTGTGTGTGTGTGTGTGTGTGTGTGTGTGTGTGTGTGTGTGTGTGTGTGTGTGTGTGTGTGTGTGTGTGTGTGTGTGTGTGCGCGTGGCGTGCGTGTTGTACCAGGTAATGTTCTGACAGAACAGCATCCCTGGAGACTTAAGCCCAACCCAGCAGGGGTTGTTGGAGATAACAATAGCTCTATGGTTCTTCTTCTGCTCTCCTGTCTCTTTCTCCTCCTTCTCCTCAATCTACTGCAGTTTTTTCGGGTGTTTTCTTTGTCTTTTAAAAAATTCATTCCTCTCTTTTATTTGTCCTTTTTCAAAATCAGCAGTCATGGTTTTTAGATGAGATGTAACAAAATGGATTGGACTTTGTCGCTCTTTTTACCAGAGTTGGGATCTGGCTTTTGTGTGTTTCTGTTTGTGAGCTCTTTGGAGAGTAAGGCTTGTGTTTGTATTTGTGTGTGTGTGTGAGTGGGTACCAGAGACCCCTCAGAGCTTGCTCTTTCCCAGATGAACGAGAGCAACCTTCCTCTCCTCTCCTCTCCTCTCCTCTCCTCTCCTCTCCTCTCCTCTCCTCTCCTGACTGTTAAATCTTTCGTTAGTGGCTGTTGCCTCCGACAGCGCTCTTTCATTATCTCTTGGCTGAACTCTCGCCTCCTGCCGTCTGCCCGCCTGCTGCCTGTTGTCCGCCCCGCCTGCCCTCTCCAGCACCAGTTGCCCGCCCCTCTCTCTCCCCCTTTTTTAACTCTTCCACCTCCTCGACTCCTCCTAAACTCTTCCAGGTATCTTTCCCTGTGCTTACCCCCTCTTTTCCCTGCTTGCCTCCCTACAGAGGACTGTGACTGTGAGGGCTATTTCAATGGACAGTACATAGGTGAGAGCGTGCACATCTTTCTCCACCTCCTTCTCCCTCTCTGCTCTTTGCCTGCTGCAGTCCGCTGGCTGTGCGCTGGTTTCCCCGGCTGCTTTTTTGGGCTGGGGGTCAAGTCGACCGCTTGTTGGGTCGATCTGTCTGGGGCCATGGGTTGAGGGATAAAAGAAAGGGTAACAAAGGTCAAGAGACAAGGTTGAAGATCATGCTAGGAGGGAAAGATGGATGATGGTTCATTTGAAAAGAAAGAGAAGGGCGTGCAGATGTAGAAAAAAACAACAATAAAAAAACAACATCTATTCATGTGTTTGAGTCAAACAAGAAGGGAACAAAAATGTCCAGTAGGTGTTATCATCTCATAACAGATCCGCCTCAACAGTCTCAGCTGCATAAATAACCTCTCATGATCAGCAAGTAGGATATTAAAGCTTTGAATCAAAAAAGGAAAAAAAAAACGTAAACTGTTTAAAATGGATCTCAATTTTACCTGAAAACACTAATGATGCATCCCTACCTAATAAAAGCAGTCAAACAGCGCAAAATACAAGTTTTTACATTCAAAAAGTTCAATCTCCTGTTTCGCTGTTTTCAACAGAAAACATGTTAAAAATTGACAACCAAATGATCACACTTACTTTTTATGTTGAACCTTCAGGGTGCCCAGTAAATACTCCCATAACTTTCTTGTGCAAATATTAATTTTCTGTGTGCACAATATAATCATTCTGTAAGCAAAATATAACCACCTTGTGCACAAATCTACTAAGCAGAAGTAAAAAAAAAATATATATAAAGTAATAATAATAATAATGATAATAATAATAATAATAATAACAACAATAATAATAATAATTAATTATTATTATTATGATTATTGTTATTATTATTATTATTATTATTAACAATAATAATAATAATAATAATAATAATAATAATAATAATAATAATTATTATTATTATTATTATTATTATTATTATTATTATTATTATTATGATTATTGTTATTATTATTGCTATTGTTGTTGTTGTTGTTGTTGTTGTTGTTATTATAATCATGTTTGTGCACTATATAGTTATCTTATAGTTATTAGTGAGGAAAAATAATTTGTTTTAAAGTAAAAAATAATGTCATTGTGGACAGAGGTTTTTGAACTTATGTGCACAAGAAAATAACTTCATTTAATGTGGTTTAAGGGTTCTTTACACCTTTTTCCAGGGGATGTTATTTATACAGAAATTAACAACATATGAAATAAAGTGAGTGACAGAAATCTTCTGTATTGAAAATTAAACAACATAAAAAATGTAAATAAAAGAAAGTAAAAAAAAACCAAAACAATAACCTAAGTCAGAATCATTTAATTTAATCATACATATTTATGAATTTTGGACTCATTTATTATTATTATCCTTAAAAAGCTGAAACAGCTCTATAAGTTTTTACAACAGAATTGAATGGAGTAGAAACAGCTTTACTGAATCCTGATCTATGCGGAGAGAGTCAGTGAGCTCCCTTTAACCTAAACCCCTCTCCAGCCTTCACCCTGACCTCCCCTCCCTCACCCCTCTGCAGCCCAGCCTTACCCTGTTTCCTCCCCTACATCCTGTGAGCTGCTGGAGTGATGGTCAGCACCACCTCGCTGTAACACAAAGTGCAAAAAAATATCAACAATTTTTGTGCTTCCTGTTGTGCTCTGTGCTTGGAGCTGTAAACCCTCCACATCCCTCCTTCTTCCTGGATCCTCCTCCTCACCCTGTTTCCCTCCTACCCTGCATCTGTATAACTGTCCCTGCTGCTGTGCTACGGCCAGTGCACTGCTTCCCCTTTTTACCTGAAACTTCCTCCTCACTCCCCTCCCACACCCTGACCCACCCCCCATGAGGGCCCTGCTGCGTTGGACGCATTTCACACTCAACCAGGCACGTTTGCTGCTTGTTTCACCCTGTGTGGAGGTGTGAGGCTTGGGTTGTGTGATGCTCTAACGCCAGTTATAGTCTCTCCTAAGTGTAAAGCAGTGGCGCCCTCCTGTGGCCAGGTGTTTTCCTGGGAATTTTACTCAGGTACAGTGTCCCGGCTCATTCCCTCAGGTACACACCACTGACGGGGGAAAACAGGCAGTCCTGGCTGTGGGATAACCCCGACCTGCAGCCTCTGAGTGCTGCTGATGTGGTGTTTCTCAGGGCCAGGCTGTCCTGTGTGTCCTGCCTCAGCACTGTAGCCTCGTTCAGAGCTGCATGCATTGTGTGGACCATGATGTTGGAAAATGATGTCTATTTCCAGTTACTGTAACCTATTTTAGACTGCTGGAATAAAATGAAGTAATTCTTTTACAAGAAGTGTGCTGTTCTCACAGGCTGTTAGATTTGTTCCTGCTGCATGTACTGTAATCAGACTTTTTGTTAAAGCATGACGTCTGATTGGCTCACACATCAAGTTTCTCACTTGAAGTTAAATTGAGCTGTATTCAAGGACATTCACTGTTTACAAAGGTTTTTAATGCATGATCATCAGTCAGATACCAGCTGCACTTGCCGCTTTCTTTAAATGCAACAACATTCAACTTGCATCTTGCTAATAGGGTAGTCTTATATTGTTTTGTGATCTTGTTTTAAAAATCAAAGTTTATTACATCTGACCCAAATTTTCTCTCTGTGTGTTTCTCTCTCCTCCTGTTTCTGCCCTTGCTGCAGCTGGTTTACGCAGAAGTTTCCGGCTGAGTCGGAAGGACAGGCAAGGATCCTCTGGGGAGGGCTCTGATCCTGGAGACCCAGACTTCCTGACGTATGAAGAGGTGACCCGCTACCAGCAGAGGCCCAACGAGAGGCCCCGTCTGGTGGTTCTGATTGGTGAGACTGAGCCACTGAAAGGCCTACATTTTCTCCTGTGATGAGAGTGACACCTCGTGGCTGGTTACATGTACTGCAGCATGAATATGACCCATGTCTTTATATTGTGTTCTGGCTTTAAAAAGGTTCTCTTGGAGCTCGAATCAATGAGCTCAAACAGAGGGTCATCGCTGAAAACCCACATCGCTTTGCTGTGGCTGTACCACGTAAGTTCACCTAACATTTTTTTTTTCAACAGCCTTTAATTGAGAACAAGGTGCAAAGTTACAGTAATGTAAAGAGACAATATTTTTCGATTTTTCTCAGACCACATTTACAAACACCCCCCAACCCTCCCTTCCCCTCCTACAACATCCAGTGCATCCCATTTTAAAGGGATATTCCGGCGTAAAATTAATTTAGGGTCAAACACACTGAGTTAGACACCCCTTTGAGAGATCAGTGTTGCCGACCGCTGGCTTCTCTAGTTATACCAACTTAAGTAACGACCACAGATAGCAATACACCGCGGTCTCAGTAGCCACACACAAACCTCAACCAAAAAGCCACTCTATAGCCACAAATAATGCTCAGAACAGCACCTAACTTCATCAACAGCACATATAGGGTCCCAGCCATAGTACTAGCCACCCAACTTTTTTTTTAGCATGGCCTAATTTTTTTAGCCAAGAGACTAAACACAACTCACCTACTCTTCTCCAGCAGCCGCTTGTTTGTAGCGAGACCTTGGGCCAGTCCATTATGGACTACAGCGGGGTGACGCAGCTCAAGGAAGAACATCTATGATCATTTATTCATGGAAATGCAATCAGACCGAGACGCTAAGGCAGAAGAACTACCTCATCTGCAGTGCAAAATGATTATTATGATGATTAGTACTTCAAGGAAATTGTAAAGTAATGATCATAAATGTTCTTCCTTGTGCTGCATCACCCTGCTGTAGTCCTGAATAGACTGGCCCAAGGTTTCGCTACAAAAGCGGCTGCTGGGTTTAGTCTCTCGGCTAAAGAAATTAGGCAAAGCTAAAAAAAAGTTTGGTGGCTAGTACTATGGCTGGGACCCTATATGTGCTGTTGATGAAGTTAGGTGCTGTTCTGAGCATTATTTGTGGCTATAGAGTGGCTTTTTGGTTGAGGTGTATTGCTATATGCTGTGTATTGCTATCGTGCGGTCATTACTAAAGTTGGTATAACTAGAAAAGCAAGCGGTCGGCAACATTCATCTCTTGAGGGGGTGTCTAACTCTGTGTTACGGTGTGTTTGACCCCAAATTAATTTTACGCCGGAATATCCCTTCAAGGTGATTAAATAAGTAATTGAATACATTTAAAAACAAAGAAGGTTATGATCTAGACAGGTAAAGGTATCATTCAACAAGTATGAAGATTTTAACAAACGAGAGAGAGAGAGAAGAAGAAAAAATAGTGGAAGTAGGTAATTAGACAGTTGAGTGTGAGAGTAAACGGGAGGCCGTGCTTGCTGAGCAACATCATGGATTAACCCTTCAGAGTGTAGTACTAGTGGATTCATGGGTTATCAGGAAGGGTTTTGAGTTTGTTTATGAAAGACATTATTGGGTCCCAGGTGGAGTAAAAAAGATTTTTCAACCCTCCAAGTTTGTATTTGATCTTTTCAAGGCTCAAATGGAGCAGTTCACCTAATATTTAATCACTTTTTCATGTCAGTAATATCAAACATCCTGGAGTAGCTCCTATTTTGTGTTTTTTCCACAGACACCACCAGGCCCAAGAAGCCTCATGAGAAGGAAGGTGTCGAGTACCATTTTGTCACCAAACAGCAGTTTGATGCAGATGCTTTAAACAACAAGTATGTAAACACAGATTTGTGAGGCCTTGTAGTGAGATAATAAAACGTTCCTTAAATCTGAAGTTCTGTTTCTTTTCTGCCCAGATTCATCGAGCACGGGGAATACAAGGAGAACCAGTATGGCACCAGTATAGAGGCTATCCGCTCTGTGCAGGCCAAGAATAAGATGTGTGTAGTGGATGTGCAGCCTGAGGTGAGGCTTGTGTTACATATGTAATGTTCAATTTGCATTTGGATGTATCACAGCGTGTCAGGAGTTACAGATCCTGCAGCAGCAGTTTGCCTGAACTAATGAGGACTGACAGTCTCATCAGATCTGCATCAATGTTGGCTCTCTGCCACCCTGCCCCCTATCTAAACCCTGTTTGTACTTCTGTATGTAAACATCCTCGGTCGCTGCAGGCTCTGAAGAGGCTACGGACCGCCGAGTTCAAGCCTTACGTCATATTTGTCAAACCCCGTGTTCCTGAGAGCAGGCGTCGACGCAGTGCAGCCACCTCACCAGGAGGGGGCGATCATGGCCGTGTAACAGTAAGTCAAGTTTCAGCTCAGATAATATGAATTTGCAGCTGAAATTTTTTTCCTAAAATTAAATTCAGAATCAAGGTATCTTTATTGACATTGTGCAAAAGTACAACCAAACTTAGTACTAGGTAGAAGTAAAAGTATTGCAGAACAGATTATTGCACCAGTAAGAAGTACATTACACAAAGTTTCTAACAGAAACGGTTAGACAGAAATGCCGGCGATCCAGCGGAGTACTAATAGTTAACACTTAGAACTCTGCTGGATCCAGCTCCACTGGATCGCCTGCGATCCCACGTGACACCATTAATATTGTCAACAGTTTCTCAAGAACTTACTGAACAGGGTTTCCAGGCATTTCTAGACCTGTCACAAGGTTTACAATCCAGCCACACAAATAGGTGTTTGATTTTTTTATTTGTTTATTTGTTTATTTAAAAGGATCCCCATTTAGCTGACGCCAAGACGACAGCTAGTCTTCCTGGGGTCCAGACAATACATACAAGACACAAAGATTACAATCACAATTACTCACAATCTCAACAACACTGAAAATACTTATTAAAATAAAAACAATAAATTAAGGAAAAGCAACATAGCCTTCATTTTTGTTACATGACAAAACCTTGCTCAATCAAGTAATCAAGATGATATTATGGTGTTGAAAAGAAATACATTCTTAGTCTCTTTTTAAAACCAGTTTTTCTCATCATTTCACGAACCACAACTGAAAGATTGTTCCAAAACACCTATAAAATACAGTCCTCTTCATAGAGTCAGACTTAGGTAGGGGTAAAGTAATCTGTCCACTCTTCGCCCCTCTAGTGTAATGTGAATGCGTATTTGAGCAGTAAATTATATTATCATAAAGAAATGTAGGAGTCTGAGTGTTAATGATTCTATGAAAGTATATTAATATATTAGTAGATAGTCTATGCTTGACCATCAGCCAAGCAAGACGATCATGCATTTCTGCAGCACTAGTTCTTGAAGAACAACCAAGAACCAGTCTTGCAGCCTTGTTTTGAGCAACTTGTAATTTTCTTGATTAGAGATGTTTCTACTTCAAGGAGTGACATAAACAACTGTATATAGCAAAAACCGCCTGGGAGAATTAGTGTAAATATATAAATAGTTTCTGTGGTGTTTTTGTTCCAATCCCAATATTTCTTCTCCTGATAGCCAAGACTTAAGATAATAATGTGCAAGTGAGAAAAAGCTTGGTCACTGTAAATGTATGTGTTTTTTGTGCAAAGTATTGTTGGTATCAATTTCTGTTTCTGTTTTTTGGTTGACTTTGATGGTTCTGAATCTACTGTCATATTCATTTCACATAATTTTTGCTCCCATAAACTGACAGCTGAGGTTGTCCTGAAAAAAAAAAAAAAAGATGTGTTTATATTTGCTGTGCTTGAAATGATAGAATTGCTATATAGATTTTTACAAAACAAAAACAAAAAACAGACGGATCAAAAATAGCAGAATATAGCTGGAGCAAAAATAGCAGAATATAGCTGGAGTTCTAAATATGATTCATTTTCCCATGCGGTATTTGGACTTTAGACCAAATGAGTACACCTCTCTACCTGCAGAATAATGTAAGGGTGGTTTTAATGTGCATTACTTCTGGTGGCCAGTAGAGGGCCACTCTTGTTCAAATAAAGTCACTTAAAATAAAATACAGTGGCTAAAATGTGACAATCAGGACTGAAATGTTTGCTCATAAACATTCCCCTTTTCAGAGATACTCCATAAACTGGACAAAGCTGCGGTAAGCATGTCCCTCTGTCTCTCTCCAACAGGATGAAGATCTGCAGGAGATGCGGCAGTCTGCCATCCAGATCGATCAGCAGTACGGACACCTGGTGGACCGCGTCCTCATTAAAGAGGACTCAGCCAGCGCCTGTACAGAACTGCGGGGGATCTTAGAGAGACTGGAGCGAGAGTCCTTCTGGGTGCCTGTCAGCTGGGTGCGGACCTAAACCATCCAGCTTTTCTGCAACAACATCACAACCAACCCACCCTGATCCTGCACCAGTTTGAAGCTCCTCTCCGACACCCCCGCCCAAAAACCCACTGGTGCAGCCTGGGAGTCTGCAGAGCTCCCTGTCTGTGACTGATACAGGGCTGCTCAGACAGCCATGAAGAGAGGCACCAAAGGGAGAGGATGATGTCAGAGGAGGGCGTCATCGTCTGGGCTGTTGCAGCGGAACGATCACAGTCGCTCAAACACCTAAAATTCACAGTTTCACTGTCACAACCTTGAGTTATCACCACTTGGGTTCAGTTTGAATTTATATGCGGACTTCAAAGATGAGAGACTGATAATGGTTGGAGTTTGAGGCCGATTTATTCCTCACAGTGTCACTCTTTTTAACTGAGTGTGTCAGGTTTTAGAGGAGTGTCTCAGTCAGCTTTATTGTGACTCTTATTGGAGTAACTTCAGTAGCATGTTTTTAATTTGATTTAACTTCCATGCCAATCTCTGAATGCTTCCTGTTTCTGCATCCTGTACAGCATAAAGACCATCAAACTGGACAGGGCGAGTTCATTTAAGGAGTTAAGTGAATGCATTTAAAACTATTCTCTCTTTTTTGCTGAACATCAATATAATTCCCACATGGACAGAAACTAAACGGAATGTGAAAAGTTTATTTTCTACAGAAGTGTTTGTTTTTAGGAGTGCATGTTTATTAATCTCAGATGTAAATACTGTAAATGTTTACTCCTTGTGTGCCAACGAATGATCTCGTAGCACTTCAATGCAACCTGTTTACCGTAATTCCCTGGGAACCCACATCTGTTTGTGTGTTAAGAAAAATATGCACAGAGTTTGTGTGAATGGATGTCACTGTGTATGTACACATACACCGACCAGAGAGCCTCCTTTTACAGACAGGAATGAGTTTTGTACAGTGTCCTTGCACATATCTGTATTTTTGACAGCAGAAGAAGAAGAAGACGAGGGTCCTGAGTGTTTGTTTGAAGGTCAGGGTTTGTCTTTGTTCATGTCCTGTCAGACTGGAAACATGTTGTTGTGATGAGAGGTGATATCAACAGGTTTGAAACTGGTCTCTCAGTCATAACCTCAATGAACAGAGAGTTCATGTTTAATCTTTGTACTTGATTATCTTACCTTTTAGCAAAAGCCAAAAATCACCCGGTTCTAGCTGCTCATTTGGGACCGTTTTTCTTCCTTTTTTATTGTCTAGTCTGATGGTAAACTGAAAATTTGAACTAAAGATATTCATAAGATTTTATTTAAACTCCTGAATTGAACTGATTGAAGCTTTTTCATGTTACAGGTCTGACAGACGGTTTATGTATGATGTCATATTTGGAGTAACAGGGGTAAATTCGTCATTTTATCAAATCCCCTTAAAAGCTATTGAGGGCGTGTTCACACTATAACATTATTTTGGTTATAAATTGTTTCTTCTCTTAACACAAGTGTAAAAATGTTGAACTTAAGGACACGAAGTGTCATCCCTCACTTTGTGCAAAGGAAAGTAGTGATAACAGTCCAAAGGCCTTTTCTTGTCTCTCCATGTGATCCCCCCTCTTCTCCACCTCAATATCATTTATGCACTTACATTTATGTCCTTAATTAGAAAACATCCCACTGAGCAGCAGTGATTTTTCCACTCTTCATTTACATGCAGCCGTGCATACGCCTCATAATCCTGCCGCAAACCGTTAGTCAATTGGTTTATTTATGACCGAATGTAAACAAACAGGAGGCTGTGGGCTGCAAAGTCTAATAAAATACCTTTTGAGTCGAGCATTTGATACAAATATTTTGGTTTCTAAAGCCATACTAACACTAGCATATCTACCATGTCCAGGTCTAAAAAATGGGATATTTGGTATTTGTGCTACTTTTGGGATATGCTAACAGTATACATTGTTTACATGACCTGTTCATTTGGAGTATTTCCCTATTTTTGATAACAGAGGATTATAAGTCTGCATGTATTTTGACTGTGTGCTGTTTGGATGAACAAAATAAGGGTAATTCGCACCAATACTTAGCTTCATTTGTATTTATTTATTCAAAAAAGAAAGATTTTCCTGCTATCTGGTGACTGAAATCTCAGTTCCAGTGGCTTTTTATGACCAGAAGATAACTGAACAGACAACAAAAGCTTCTCTCAGCCACATAAAAGAGGTGAAACTCTCCTTGGATTCAAGAGTCACTCAGAGTTTACAAGTTTATGCCATAGGTAATCACAAAATAAAATAATTACAGAGTATGGCCTAAAACAGTTTAGATGAACTTTGACCCCTGTTTGAGCATGACCTAGAGAGACAGAGTATGTATGCCCAAACTTAGGCACCCCTGTGTTTCTTTTCTGCACATGCATTGTGTTGTTTTGTTTCGAACCAGGAAATCCTGAATGTTGAGTTTGAAATGTGACATGTACAAAGTGCCATAATAAAGCTAGCTGAACTGGATGTTTGTTGATTCATCTGAATATTTACTATGTTTGTTCCTCCTGTGACAGCCTGCCGTTTGTGCTCAGATTGTAATGTCAAAATGTGGACCGAGTGTGTTTTCTCTCCAGCTGTTCTGGGCTTTAATGTAATCCATTTAGGGTTTATGAAAGTATGGAAAAGGTCTCGGTTTGTGTCCTCAGAGGCACACATCCTCATGTCTCTGCTCTATCAGCATTGTTTTGCAGGCGTCTGGCTCAGGGGACAGATTATTGTCACAGTGATAGATAAGTTAAAAACAAATCGAAACCCTGGGAAGAATTTTGATGTACTTTAGAGGTACCTGAAAGCTGTGAGTTCAAACTATTTCATTTCCTCACTGAGGCAGAGGAGGAAACTTGTTATCAGCAGCAGCTGCTGAGAAGTTTTTGAAATCAAGTATTTCAGACTGTTTTTGAATCTATTTTTCAAAGTGACTATTTTAGAGGAAACTTTTTAAGGTACTTCATACAGACAAACTTTTGAAGAGTCGTGAAAAGGACAGATTCCCTTAGCCAAACAATATTGCTGAATTATTGACAGGGCTTTATAATGTAAACAGCAATTTAACATTTAGCAGAGTCTACCAAAAATGCATACATCCCAAAATAGAGATAATTAAAGTATTTTGAGTGTCAAGTTCTCATATAAAGTGCTCTCAAGGGTAAAGAGTGAAGGTTCAGAGGCCCTAAAGCACTGCAAATCAAAGAGCATGTGATTGTTGGAAACGTGTGAAGATCAGGTAAACCCATTCTGTGAAGGAAAAAAGTTTGTGAGACCATAAGATCAGAGTTGCATTGATACGTAAGAGTGTGTTTGATTTGCAGGTCAGAGGGTCAAATGCAAGTTGACCTCTGAGAGTCCCTGAGCTCCATCATGCTGTTCTTCTGGATCACTGCTGCAGACGTCTTCCTGCCATGGACCTGTCTGCTTTACAGCTGCTTCAAATACATGCATCAGTCTCTCCTCTGTCCTTCTCTTTCTTTCTCCATCTCCATCTCCCTCTCCCATCTCCCTCCTGTTAAAGGAAGTTCTTTCTCTCCACTGTAACTTGATAAATGCTGCAAAGTGTTTCATCCATGTGGTTAAAGATGGGATGGGAGGGCCATAGTCTGACCCTGTCTTTACAGGGGAAATGGTGAAATGGTGCTGTATTAATGAAGATTGAACAGAGATTCAAGGTAGACAAGTGAAGTCAGCTGGATTGTAGCTTGTTTTGTGTTTCTTCTTGCGAACACTTAATAAATCATTTCACACCAAAGTCAAATAACCTCAACTGGCTTATTTTCTGACTGCATCAAATTGTTCCTGAGGATGATTTTTATCAAGTGTTGGCACTGTTGCATTTAGGTCTATTATCTGGCCTGGATCCCATCATAATGTCTCTGTTTACATTTTCTTGTGGACTAAATTCATTTGATTAAATAAATAACATGTTTATTAGCATTTGGACTGAATGTGCAACACTTGTCAAAACATTTCTGTCTTAGATAAATGAGAATATTAGTTTAAGGTATCAGGAAAGTATCAATATTACATCTTAAAGCAGGAATAGGAGATGACTGTGCAACGATAAAGCGTCCCTACCCTAAAGTGCAGGGCATTCTTTTATTGTCATACAGATTAAGAAGGGTCTGGTATTTTATACGAGGAGTAAACAAGACCTGTAAAAGTAATAAAAAGTTCCGCTTAAAGATCTTTAAAATCGTGCTCTGTGTTGACTTGTTTTACTGCTGCAGTTTCATAAATGATGGACCAGCAGGGAGGGAGACAGCAAACAGAAACTTGTTTTGGATTACATTTTTTGATCTCATTTTGCCTTTGAGATAAATCATAGAAGAAATTATAGCATATTAAATATCAGAAAAATGCTAATTAATCTGCTCCTGGTAGTCTTGATTAAAACTGTTCCCTGTGGAGTCTGAAAACTTATTTACTTCCTCTGACTTTTCCTCGTAAACACTATTCTGCACTAATTCTTCATTACCAGCCTCATTCAGTATCTGTAATTGAAAAAAGATAGGGAAAACATTATATCGACTGTGTAGCGCAGGTTTTCTGCAAGTTTTGTTTGGGTTCATCATCAGCTCTCTGTCTCTCTCGCTTATATGCAATTACCTCTGCAAGCGTCCTCTGACTCCTGAGACTACTGCTGACAGAGCCAATTAAACCGACTAACAATCATTCTAATTAGTGAAGCTGCTCCTCTGAGGAAAAGAAACTGTGTTAGTGTAAAGGTGTGCTGAGGCTGCACACAGATCCTCTGACATTCATTATGGACCAACACAATATGCTTTCACTCTCCAGCTCAGCGGTTTATGGAGGCCACAGACTCCCCAGACCTGCCAAGTGGAAACAATGACACATCTGCTTTATCACAGAGCATCTGCAAAAAGGACCGCAAAGGCTGCCAGAGGCTTGAACCCATTAAAAATAAAAAATCATAGATTACATGTTCACAAAAAGATGAGTTTTTTTTGGCTTCTGCTCTTCTTTTCACTCCATTGTCTGCGTGAAATTTCATTCAGCTGCAGAGGGATGGTTATAAGCCGATCAGAATAAACTCATCCCATTTGTGCACATGCCAAACATCTGGACATACATGCATAGGGGTGTACAGTTTTCCTCCACTACCAGTAGCAACACTTCATACCTCAATCAAATGTACTTTGCTGCATCAGTGTGCCACATTTAGTGACTTTACAAGTTTCACAAGTCCTTTCAAAACAGCGTTTGGCAGACTTCTTTGTTAAATTTACACTGGCTGTTCTCGCTAAGTCAGTCTGTTGGCTAATCTAAATCATAGACTGCATTTACTATGGACAACTTGGCTCCGCATTCCGTCATTATACGAATCTGATACTATCTAATACTCTCAGTATTTTCCAGGATTATCTCCATGTCCTGGAACCACCACTTGCACAGTAGCGTTGTAGCATTTAGCAGGAGAGTCACTGTGATGACATTCAAACAGGTGAGCTATGTAAACTTTGTTCGCCCATAGGCTGTATCAAGTGTCAATCATAGAAAACATGAACCCCCTAATAACTTTTAAAATCCAAATTCAAATTCAACTTAATTTGTATGGCACTTTTCAGACAAAAAAATGTAGTTCAAAGTGCCTCACAGAGGCTAAAAACAACAATTAAACAATGATAAAACCCACCCATGGACCCACACAGACACAAAGACACACACCCTCCCTTACTCACCCACACTAACACACACACAAGAACACACAGAGTGAAAATTTAATTTACACTATGGGCCAAAAGTCTGGAAGCAAGGCCATTACAGGCCGAACAGTTGGGAGTAACTTCAAGTTTTTGTTCACAATGCTTTTTTAATAATCCAGCATGAGTTTTATGTATTTTGGGATGTATTTACTCCATAGTCAGATGTTGCTTTCATTGAAATGCACCATTTTACTCAATTTACCTTTAGATATTCATTGATGTTAACAGACCATTGCTAAATATATGTCAGCAAGATAATAAGGGCTTAGTTTTAGGGTTGAAAACATTTGCAAGAGTCACAACTTCAGTGCAAAAGCAAAAAAAAAACAAATCACAGTTGGATTATTCACTTTAACTTTTTGGCTTTTGAGAGTCTGCATACAAAAATCCTAATAAATCTCAACTGCGTTCAAACTACAGCAAAAATGGCTAAAAGAAGCAACTGAGTAAAGAAACAAAAGTACAGATTTGTACATTGAGGAAAGAAGGATACACAGAAAGAGAAACTGCAAAACACCCTAAGGTGTTTAACAAAGGAGTCCACTACACTCTGAAGAGACTAGAGGAACCTGGAAGTTATGATGATAAAAAAGACCTGAACGGAAGAGAGTTACTACAAAAGCAGATGATAAACAGAGCATCGTCACCAGTAACAGAGATCGGCGAAAGACAGCACCACAAATAAGGGAGGAAATCAACATGACAAGGTCGAAACCCATATCTCTGACAACCGTGAAAAGACGTTTGAGAAAAGCTGGTCTGAAGGGTTGTGTATCTGCAAAAAAACACTACTTCGTCCACAGAACAAGAAAAAGAGATATGAGTGGGCAAAAGCTCACAAAAATTGGACTTATGATGACTAGAAACAAGTTTGCACTGTTTGGTTCAAAACGCAGCGTCTATGTCCTAGCCCTACCCTAAGCACTCTGCCAAGCCCTGTCAGGGTTACCTAGACAAAAAAGAAGAGGAAAGTGTTCTTCAAAAGATGGTTTGGCCCCCTCAGTCTCCAGGCCTTTCTCCAATTGAGCTTGTGCGGGATGAATTGGATCGATCGGTCAGAAAAACGTGTCCCACGAATCAGCAGTGTCTTTTCAATGAACTTAAGGAAGCTTGGAATGCAATCCCTGGAACATACCTTAAAAAAACTTGTGGAACAAATGTCTGGTATATGCCAAGCTGTTGTTAAAGCCAGAGGAGGTTACTTTAAAGAAAGCAAAGTCTAAGCAACAATAACTCAAATACCTAATAATAATAGTCAAAATGTCTTCTGATAAGTTACTCTTTACACAATAGTCATGTTTATTGTGTTGCAAATTATAATTATATGAAAACTATGATCTTTTTTTGTGCAAATCTGATCTTGCTTCCAAACTTTTGGCCTGCAGTGTATATTGTTAAAGAGACATTGCCTGACACTGAGACATTGCATGAGGAAAGAGCTACTTTTGGGGAACACTGGAGATAAACAGATAAAGAATGGCTAAAAAAAAAAAAAAAAAGGGGCGCAGGGGCTGTGTGATCACAGACAACATCTCGGTACTATTTAGTAGCAGCGCATGCCCTTTGTAATAACCCCCGTACAAACTGTTTTTCAGGACTGCTTACTTGTGCTTCCTACCCATTAGGCCACTGTTATAACCGTTGTTCTAGCCTTCACGCAACATTTTTGTTCTCATTAATGAAACGCTTAAATCGGGGACAGTTTCAGGGACAGCTTTTGCCAGGGACAGGTCATCCAATTCGGGGACTGTCCCCGGAAATCAGGGATGTCTGATCACCTTACTCTACAGGCAGGCTGTTCCACAACTGAGGGTCATAGAAACTGAAAGCTACCTCCCCGTGTGATTTTGTTTAAACTTTGGGTATGATTAAAAGGCCTGTGCCGGAAGACCTCAGGGTCCGCGAGGGTTGATATGGTAAAAGTAAGTCAGATAAATATGAGGGGCCAATGCCATTAATACATCTAAAAAAATTGAGCTGCACAGACAAAAAGAGGACTTAAGCACAAACCAGTCTTACAATAACTACATGTCAACATCACAACCAGGGGGGAGAAAAAAATGTATTTTCTGTGTAATTAATTTCTCAAGTTTGTCCACAACTCCATAAGGATTGCTTGAAGAGGCGGGATTTATTACCTATACTGCAGCCCGTCACCAGAGAGTGCTGTTCTCGTGGTGGCTTCACCCAGCGAGGAGGCAGATGGCGTCCATTCTATATACAGCCTATGGTTAAACATTAATCAAATGTGTCATTGCTGCACCAGTGAGCCACATTTAGTGACTTTACACATTTCACAAGTCCTTTCAAAATAATACTTCCTGTTTGATGGTGAACATGGCAACAGTACTTGGCAAAGACTTCTTTGTTAAATTTACACTGGCTGTTCTCGTGAAGTCAGTTTATTGGCTAACCACTGTCACCAATAGAACAAACCACTGTTAAACTTTCTTTTAAAAATAAAACTGCTCATGTGTAGTTGTTACTGTGATTTACTATTTAATGGCCTTTGAGTCTATTTTGCTGAATGAAACTAAAGCAGCTATAAAAGAACTGACCGCAAGGCTCATTATCTTTTATGTGAGGCTCCATATAGACCTATATCCTGTTTTATTTATATGTGCTTTAAAAATTGGGTTCCAGCAGAATAATTACATGTCAACTGAGGACTACTTAACAAAGATATTGGATGATTAATATGGTTAGCAAATCAGTGCTTGCTATCCTTGTGTGCACTCAGAAAATCTATGAAGTTAAATGAAGCAATGTAACTAGCTGGATGTACTTTACTCAAGGACGAAACAAAACAAGGCAAGAGAGGACAAACAGAGAGTGGGTTTGTTAGAGAGCAGAACCATGCTGCGAATGGTAATCAGCTGAGCGTTCTATTTAAACTAAATGATTAATGATAGTTTTTAATAGGTCCTGATAAGGTTTGGGCCGCAAATCATACGCTCATTTTAGACAATGGCAGCCCAATTAACTGAGGGCAGTGGGTTGGTTTTGTATGTCAAAAAGAGAGGCATGTAATAGAGAGACCATAGTGGCAATGACTGCATTTCTAAACACATTGAGAAGAAAAATAATGAAAAAGCTGAACATGAACCGTGTCCGAGGAGAGCCTTTAGCTCATCTGGGCCACAGAGTCTTGGGTAATGATGATGATATATTGAGCTATTATAAAATCTCAATTCGATTACAGGTATACGGTGTTTGGCACAGCAGCACCTTTGTATGAGCCAGACTGGATGTAATTCAGGTTTAGGGCCCCGCCTGAAGAGAAAGTGGAGGTTAGAGAATGGCTCCCATGTCAGGGTGTTTTCCCAGAGAT